TTCTTGATGATCCGACATGAACGATCATTATGACGGTAACAAGTTTTTCCAACACTATTTTCATCTTGATTGCGTAGAATGATGTGGTTGATCGCTAAGGTAGCTTGATGAACAACTAGACGTTCAACACTATTTCGAACAAGAATGCTCCTCAAGCACCGTTAGAGCTTACCAAAACGTCCAAGATGATTAAAGAGGAAGAAAAGTTTAGTCAAAGGTAGTGTAGAACCTCCCTGAATCCTAGTTTTATTAACTGCAGGAACTCAAGGAAGAACGCTCCTCAACATCCATTAGAGCTCAACACAATTTTATTTCTTAAAAGCCGATGGTTTAGGAGAAGATGAGTTGACTCAAAGTGGAGCCTCTCTAAATCTTAAGATGTGACTAGTTACTATCTATGTAAAGGACTGGTTGCCATTGCTACATTATTCCTGTACCTAATCTAATATATCCCTTCTACATCATGTATTATATAAGAGTGATGGTACACGTACAGGACGGGGGGCATGGTTCACTGCCAAGCCATCCACTGTACATGGGGTGGGGGGTGTATTTTTTTCTTTTTTTTTAAAAAACATGTGGCCTGCCAGTGTGAGTGGCCTGGCAGGCCCCTATGAATTTTGCTCCTGTACTTGGAGCAAAATTCATTATATAAAGCCCTTGTTTATTGTAGATTAAAATCAAATTTCTAGTAGATTTTTATAAAAATTAATGTAATATATGATTGAAAAATTGTGGATTCCATGAAATGTGTGATTAAAATTAATTGTTAACTTTGACTTACAATTAAAATCAGATTTTAGTTTGTACCAAACAAGGACAAATAAAAAGTATACATGGTTTTCTTTACATTCAGGGCTGGATGTACTACGAGTACATTGAAGTAGAAAGGAGAAAGAGCATGCTCATGTTTGTAGGAGATGGAATTGGGAAGACATATAAAGGGCAACCAGAATGTTGCCGATGGCTGGACTACTTCCCGATCTTCCGCAGTTGGTGGGTTCTCAACTCTCTTTTACTGATTCTGTATGTTTGATATACAGCCCCCCGTTTGACATCCATTCTCTTCTCATTCTCTTTCTCATTTTTTTCTCTTTCTTCATTTCAACCACACATTAATCAATAAAATAATATTACAAATAAACCCAAAAAAATTTCTTACTTTTCAACCACACATTCTTTCCATCAATC